GATCGAAGAATACCAGTTTATAGACGAGATGGCGAGCGTTATTTTCAATGCAATCTAAGATTGGCGACAAACTTTGGAGGAGGATCTATTATGCTCTGGGGTGGAATATCTCTTAGGGGTCAAACCGAATTGGTACAGCTAGATGGAGGATCCTTAACTGCTGATAGGTACATTAGAGACATTTTAGAGATGCATGTTGTTCCTTACGCCCCATTTATTGGTAATGACTTTGTTTTAATGCATGACAATGCACGCCCACACGTCGCAAGAATCGTTACCGAGTACCTTCAAGAGGTAAATTTACAAGTTTTGAATTGGCCAGCGCACAGCCCAGACTTAAATCCAATAGAACATGTTTGGGACCATCTTTACAGAAGGGTGAGATCTGGTAATGTGACGCCAGCTAATCTTCAGGACCTGCAACGGTTGTTAACCATAGAATGGGACAATATCGATCCAGATTATCTAAGAAGATTAATTGGAAGTATGCCACAACGTTGTTTAGATGTTATAAGAGCTAGAGGAGGCAATACGTCTTACTAAATTATCATTAATTTTGATTTTGATTTTTTATTATTCAATGCTGTTTGTGCGCTTACTTCTAATTTATGAAATAAATTAAATAAAACCTTTATTTTTCGTACATTCTTCATTTTTCTTTTAATACTTGTTATGTACTTAAAAAATAACAAAAAACAACAGTACACAATTCATGTTTTAAATTATTTTTAATCCAAAATTTGCAGTTTCATAGGTGATGCGATACTTTTTTGGCGGAGTGTATATATATATATATATATATATATATATATATATATATATATAATATATATATATATATATATATATATATTATATAATGTGTTGAAACAAATAATACCTGACGCCGTTAATGTGAGAGATAGATAATAGAGCCCGAAAAAAGACTGACTCAAAAACTATATATTTCCCATAAAAAATAGTCGTGATTTATAACCCAAAATATGTAAATATGCCAAATTTCATAAAAATCGGATAGGAGCCTGTCTACTAAACAGTTATCAAAACTATAATAAAAGGCACAGGGATGAAATTATCTTTTTTTAAAGGAGGAAAAATAAAGAAAAATTTTAAGACTATAGAAGATTTTTAATTAGGATAAATACAATCCAAGAACCAATCGTTTTATTAACTTACCACCAACAAGTTGATCGACAATAAAAATAATTGGTTAAATAATAGTCTCAAATATACACACTAAACAACTAATTAACACACTAAATAACTAATTAACACTAAAAATACAAACTATAAATAAGAATAATACGGATATAAGGAAGAATAAACACCAAATTAGATTAAAAAACAATATAAAATGGAGAACGTAAACAAACGTAAATAAGTCATAGAACACTAACAAACATTTCGACTCTGTCATCAAACAGATACCATAGAACAATTGTTATCGTGATTGTTACTGTTCTCTGAAAATACTTCATTATCGCGACATCTATTGATGGATATCGGTAATACAATTTTATATTTGACCTTGGTCATCTGCGTGAAACGTCTATTGGTGTAAATGGTCTTTGGTTAACGACTAAATTAGAAATTAGAAGGTAACGAGAGGCCCAAGGACTGGCGTCTAGCCGTTGGCAAGTCAGGATAATCCTGACCAATCCAATCGCACTTGAGTATGGGTGTGGCGCGTCATTTAAATTATGTACATATTTGAATGTAACAGTTCTCATTTCTCATACCACGAAACGTTCTCGGATTGTTCACTCAAATAAGAAGTAATGTTTAGTTGTTTTAAATACACAGTTTTATTATTTTACATATTATAAATACTATCTTATTGTGAGTTGGCAACAAGTGAGGGAGGGCTTGTCTGCTTGTCACTTATTATTATTATAGATCATAGTTGTTGTTATTTGGTATGTTGTTGTATAATAAAAATAATTACCACAATCAAATATCAGCAATAAACTGACGTTCAGATAGACTTGGAAATAACTGCAAAATATCAGTTTGATGTCCAATGTGTGTTTTTATAAAATTGACTTCAACTTTTTCTGCCAAATCAACCGGATTTCCTTTCGCCTTTCATTTTTAAATGCCATTTTCCTTCGCTTTCAGAATTAAAGCAGCCTGACCGATGACAGAGAAACTTCATTGTTTTTGTGAGTCTTTGCGGAAAAGTTCTCGACTTTAACGTACCTATTTGGTTTTTGTAGGTACTACTTTCAATTAAACATTTCCACTCCTGAAAAGAGACTAAATTGGAAAATTGAAGTGTTTCACTTTCTAGGATTAGGTTGTGTTCTTCTTGAAAATGAGAATGCAATTCTGCAACATAACTTGAATAAAAATTATACAAAGGACACTTCTTAAGCTGGATTTATAGTTTGACGGACTGTAGACGCAGACGTACTGGAAAAAGATCAACATAGGCTTTTGTGTACTCTTATTTATAAATGAACGTAAACGCATGACGGGACGTAAGCGAAACGCACTGTAACGGAAGAGTTGGTCAACTTTCATCTTTTACAGTACGTTACTTGCGTCTAGCCAATTAAAAGGAAGGAATTTTGTGCTGTCAACCAAAGTGAACTGTCTGGCCCGCCCACAATTTTGTAAAGTTGCTCATCAACATATTCGAATTTTGATTTTGTTGATTATTTGTTACATGGACGTTAAGAATTTATAAAATAACAATAATAAATAATAAAAGTATATTATAGTATCATGGTCATCAGTCTAGCCATTGTTTCTACTCATGCGCAAAAATTCCACTCCGTCGATTTATAAATTGAAATAATATTTACAGCCCGTTTGTTACGTCTCCAGTGCGTCTACGTCTACAGTCCGTCAAACTATAAATCCAGCGTTAGAATCTTTCTTGATTTTGCTATCTTCCGTTGAAGTGTCTACAACATTTTTATGAGTTTCTGTGTATTCAAAACAATTAAACATAACTCCTTATTTGTGTGAACAATCTGAGAACGTTTCGTGATGAGAACTGTTACATTCAAAGCTGTACATAATTTGAATGACGCGCTACACACAAAATTAAGTGCGATTGGATTGGTCAGGATTATACTGACCTGCCAACGGCTAGACGCTAGTGGCCCAAGGCCGAGCGGTGACCGTAAGTAGCTGAAAATACTTAAAGAAGTATGCGGATCGTAAAATTTGCGAATGTCCGGTAATCTAGGGTTAAAACAGTAAAAAGTTTTACATATTTGGGAGTTGAATTAAGATGGATTGAACCCAACAATCAGAAATTCAAAGAAAAAAGTAAAGTTCACTTTTTACTTGTCCATTTGTTCCGCTCCAAAACCACACACTGGAGATCAAAAATCAGGATCTACAAAACTATTATCAAACCAATAGTATATTATGGATGCGACATATGAGTGAAGACACAAAATACAAAAAGAAAGCTGGATGTCTTGGAAAGAAAAGTCATATGGAAGATATTTAGACTTATTAATGAAAACGGAGTATGGAGATCCTGGTAAAACCATGAACTCTACCAGCTGTTTAAAGAGGCACCGATCTTAGATTCTCGTTAAACTTCAAAGACTTCGATGCGGTGGCTATGTCTATGTAGTGAGAATGGAGGCCGATAGTATAATGCAGAGAGCAAGACCAAAAGGAAGGCCACGAAAAAGGTGGAAGGATGAAATATGGCAGTTGACACGCAAAATTTGCTAGACGTGATAACTTGGAGAAGAGCAGCGTGGGATCGACATTCGACAATGTTGGCGCAAAGTTTGGAGAAAACCTAGGCTCAATTTGGAGAGGGATACAAATACAAAAACTTGTGGATTTTGACATATCTTACTTCATTAAAATTTGAATAGTTATTATTATTTAAAAATTATTTAAGTCAATTTTTAACGAGTGTTTATGAAAATATCTGTTATATAAATTTTTTAATTAAAAATAAGTTTTTAGGACAACCGTTGGGTAGAATTGAATCGAACAAGAAGATACTGCAAAAATCAATTTAGTAGGCGCTTTTCGAAAATTCAACCACAAATCTTAATATGTATTATTGAAACTGAAACAGGATATCAATTATTTAATAATAAACCATCATAAAAGCTAAAAACAGAACAAGCAGTAAAAATCTGTACATACAACAATATTTACAGTGGTGTCTAAAATTAACCTAACGCGCCACATTCTCTTTTTAGTCAAGGTCAGAGAAATCTACTATAGTTATATTTTTTTGTTGATACATGTACTCGAGATAATAAAATTAAAAGGTTGAAATTTTTACAGAATGTCTGCAAACAATAAAGAAACTTTGACACTGTTAGGCAAACAGTCGTTAAATGAATTACAAATTTTAATTATCTTTCTTAAAAAATAGTCTAGTCAAGTACTAGTCAAATTAGGGCCAGTTTAAATTAATTATCCTTAACAGGCAATTTCAACTACTTTTAGAAGATGTCAGCATTTATCAGATCGCAGGAGTTTCGGTTAGGTACTGCAGATTGTTATATTAAATAGTATTCTCTACGTAACACTTATAAATAAATTTCTGCTTATGATAAGCTTGTGGGTAGGCTACTTAATCTAACCACAATACGTTGGTGGATTTAGTAGCCTACAAACTACTAAAGCTACGTATGGATAAAGGAGGAAGGTTGAGAAACAGGCTAACGATATGTCCTTGTAAAAAGAACCATTGTCAAAACTACCGAAACACATCCACAAGAATTATTTCTGAGAGAACGGTTTTCTACACAAAAAGTGCTTATAAACATTTTTGTTCAATATTATCTCAGCTACATTTTTAAATCGATTTTTTTTCGTTCCCCAATCCCCTTTGAGAGGACGTTAGTTACAGGGGGAAGCCGAAGGTAGGAGTTATATATATTTATTTTGGGTCCCAAAATACCTCATACGTAATTCTTATTTTTCAGGTTCAGTAGCCTGTTCGTCTCTGATAACTATAAGTACAATATTCTATGTGTTTTTATTGTATTCTACCAAGATTTACTTACAATTTCAGGCATATTTGAAATAGCCACATAAGTCTCGTTTGGTGATACCAGCTTAATATGGTACTTAGCTTTAAACGCAGGTTCGTCAAAGCAGGGAAATACTCGTCTGGCCCTGTTCGGTTCCAAATCCGTGACATAAACATATCTAAAAAAGCGATAAAAATGAATATTAGGTAGCCGAATATGAAAGTATAGAAATATCCAACTTAAGTTTATATAAGGCAGATAATATTTTAAGTTGCATTTTGCAGAACCCTGAATACAAAATAACCACCTGATTGATGAATATTATAAAATATTAGATGGAGTAGAAATATTTATTAATAGTTTTAAGTAAACGTTCGGCAAAAAATAATAAAATGTTTAACTAAATGAAATAAACTGCGTAGAAAATTTCTCAGGTGAATTTAGTAGGATTACTAAAATAGTTACCGGTATTAAAAGTTGCTGCAAAGAAAATGCCAACATTAGTAAGTTCATAACATATCGAGTCGAATTTATATTTTAAAATATTACATTCATAAAAATATTAGGATTCCATGTCGATATTGGGATCATCTTAAATACAACGCTGAAAACCTATGTACCTACTTATTGTATGGGATGGTATAATGAGCTTTTCCTGTTTTTTGGTAAATATTTTAATGGAATTACTAACAATATATTTTTTCTGTCATGATGCAGAAAACTGACAATACCATTTCACTGTATTCTACATTAAAATATGTAGTATACATGGACGTATAAACATAGATGGACACATCAATAAGATACCTTTAACCAATGACTTTAAAAAGTGTCCAAAACATGAATACCTTTGTTATTGTTTATTGTTTTGATACGAAGATGCACGAAGTTTATGATTTCTTACGAAGCATCACGAAGTTGATCTTGTGTTTGAAAACATCATGGACGTATGAAAACATTTTCTCCATTTTGTGTTACAAGCAAATTTTATTTTAAATTGTTGAGAGTTATTTACTTACTATTTTAGTAAAATGCCATACTATTTTATGAAAATAATTAGTTCTCTTATAGACGGGAACAAAAAGAAATCATAAATATTTAATTTTAAGGCTGTTTTATCGGTGCACCAAAATTTTTTCTCTGTTATTTACCGACGAAATGTCTCGAAATTTGGACATGTTATACGAAATTATGTTGCCTTTAAACTGATGGTTTTACTTTTTTTATTTTTTTGAATTTTCTGTTGAAAAATTGGATTATACTGTTTAACGTTCTATTATAACCAAACTTTTCACGCCCATCAGTTGAAAGAGTTTTTTTTTTCTGTAATCGTTGATTCTTTTTTCACCTTTCTGTGTCCAGTAATAATCGAGAAAAGCGTATTCAAACTTTGAAGAAAATTGCTAAAAAATACTGAAATCTAATAGTGAAACGTGTTCCTCATCATTGTCGCTGAGCTTGATCGTTATCGCATTAGTGACGTCAAATCTCATGAGCGTACGGTACGGTCTTATTTTTATTTCTCTATGGGTACGGCCAGTTAGTTCGCTTGAATTAGAATCCATTTTAGTTCTTTCATTCTTGTATTTTCTTTATCAACTTGCTTAGTTTTTACAGTTTACAGTATTCTTATTTATTTTGAAAACATTGAAATTATTTAGTTTACGTGTATGTTAAGTAATATATTATTAGTTTAGTGGTATAAGTTAAAAGTTCTTTAGTTTACGCGTATTTTTAAGTATTACATTAGGTTAGTGATATAAGTTATAAGAGACAAGATAAAAAATGAGTCCCAGTAAACGTCCTATGTCAAGGAAAAGGAGAGCAATTACACTGCTTTAGTATTTATTATTTATATTACAACCGTTTTTAAAAGCTTTTATTTAACTTATATATATATATATATATATATATATATATATATATATATATATATATATATATATATATAAGTATATATATATATTCAAGGTTTGAATAATCATTCTCCATTTTCATGCAACTTTTCTAATATGGAGATTATCAAAGAAAAAATGGACGGATTGATAAGTACATTGACTTTTAAATGTCAAATGTGGAATATTGAAAAGGAGATAGCAACATAGGATTCTGGTAACAATTCACTGAACTTGAATGGTTCTGGTTATTCAGACATACAGCAGCACGCTGCATTAAATATACCTGTGATTTCCTACAGGCAGTATGCAAAACATACGGAAACAGTTGCAGATATCATCGGCCAAACACTTTGTGATTCCTTAGAAGAGGCTGGACGGGAGGAATTAGCTTTAGCCAAAGAAATTGGTGTAGTAGATTCCGACGGAAATGGGTTAATAACCGTTATAGCTGATGGTGCTTGGTCAAAAAGATCGTATAAAGTAAACTACGATGCTTCTTCAGGTGTAGTACCTGACGTTGTAAAATTCATTAAATTAGTACGCCTTTGATGGATAGGACATGTAATTAGGCGAGATGAAGATGAAACGATCAGAAAAATTTTCGACCGAAGAGGACCAGTGGGAAGACGATCCAAAGGAAGACCAAAACTTAGGTATCAAGATAACATAGAGGATGATCTAAAATCCATCGGAGTTAAAGCATGGAGAAAGTTGTCAGAGGCAGGGGCGAATGGAAGATTGTTGTGAAGAAGCCTTTGGCTCATGACGAGCTGTAATGCCACTGATATGATGAAATAACTATCCACGATTTTTGTTTTATTCATCAATTGGATACTTTTCTTATGTAACTGCAACCTATAAATATATTAAAATAATGTATATTCCATTCAGAGAACATTTTCCTCGCAGTGCGTCGCCTCGAAATACTTGCCAGATAAATACATTTACTATTATGATGGTTTCGCAGGTACCAATTTTTTATAGATAAATAAAAATATTTTTTGTTTAATTTTTACTACGCTAATATCAGTTTTCTCTAACAAATATTAACAAAATATTAATTATATATTAATATTAATATAACAAAATTTAAATTTATTATAAATAAACACCATGGTGTTTTTTGTAGTCACGTTTCACAAATTTTTATTTAATACTATGTTTAGCTAAGACATATAAATTAAAAATGTGATTAATTCTTGTTAAAACATTATCTACGATAATTAATCTAAAAAAAAGTATTCCGACAATACTAATTTGAATGGAGAATAATGCATTTATTTTAAACAACCCGTGGGCCGGCGCCACTGAATAAACATCCAAACTATTAGGAAGTCACGTAGGGTCTGACATAGCAGTGTAGAAAAGTAAGTGATACGCCCACTTCAAATCGCAGTATGCTATAACTGCGAAAACAGCCTTAATTAAAAAAATAATTATTGTCATTAACATATAAATGAGCACGCCGCTGTTCTGATAAACATACCTTCAACCTTGAGCCGAGATCTTTCGGACACTCGATTCTATAGCGAGAATAGGGGACTACGTAGTCTATATATTATACGTCATTGCCTATAACACACAATGTTTTGAAGCTTCGATAGAATGTGATGCTTCCGCAATGAGCATAAGCGTGCTTGAATTTTTACTCGCGGGTAATTATTAAGATTTTAAAAATTGGAAGTAGTAATAATGTATAAAAACACGTTCAAAGAATTTAAAAAAAAAACGAGAGTTTAACTATTAACAAATCACGTCTTTATAGAAAAATTAAAATACAATTTTATTTGCTTTAAAATTAATACAAGTAAATATAGTTGAATTCAAGTTAATTTTTTAATAGGTATCAAAATATTGCTACAATAAAAAATCTTTACGTTTTCTCCTAAATTTGCTACCCAAATAGTTCGATCGTCAATATTATTTGGAAACCTACATAGACAAATAAATGAGTTTTATTCATTTCACTAATTTATTTGTATCGATGAGAAATATTAAATTAAAAAGGTACTAAGCAGATCTTTTTTAATCAGATAATGTCTATTTACAATTTAAAAATGTCTACTAATTTCATGAACTCATATCTTATTCAATACATTAATGAACATGAATAAACCCAATGGTACGCCTATTAAAATGTAAACAAACACGCTTCCTCATTTCCTCATCTTAAATAATATAAATTGTATATACTTACAAACGAAATGAGAGATCGGGATGTAAATATTTCGTTTATTTTATTTCACTTTTCAAAATATCACTCAAAATACAGTCAAAATATCAAAAAACAACTTTTGCTCATCTACTGTAAAAAGTAAACAAACATGGAACAGCATTTGAAGTTTGACGTAGATCCATAAGACACAGAAATGTAAACAACCGTTGCCATTTATAAATAGTTTTCAGTGCTTCTACATATAAAACAATTGATTGATATCTATTATACGATATTATTAAATGATAATGCACGCTATGTGCACACTTGATATTTTGATTACAATTAAATATATTAATCTAAACAATAAATTATTATTTTGGTTTGATAGCACCTGTAGAGTATAAAATATTTTCAGCGACTCGCGAATAAGAAATTTTAAAACAAAACGTGACAACAGTTGAAGGTGCTAAGAATGTGATCTATTTAAATAATTTTGACTACACAATTGTATGTAAATAACTGAGTCCATCTGTGTTTATATGTCCATGGTAGTATACGCTTGAATTCTTGTTACGAGCAAAATAGATAAAATTAAACTATGTATTACGCCGGCTCCACACATACGGGCCAACGTTGGTCCCAACAGCGTTCGTCCAATGTATGTATCGACAAAATCCATATGTTGGAGCCAATGTTAGCGCCAACGTTGGCAGTTTTCCGTGGAGTGTCGGTTTTTGCGTACACATCAAAGGGATTCACGCTAATATTGGTGTTGCCGTTGATACATTAAAATAAAACCAATGTGTGGTTGCCTCACCGAACGTTGACCCAACGTTGGCGCCAAGGTTGGATCCCATGTGTGGAGCCGGCCTTAGACGAATATTTATGTTTTTATTTTGAGAACGATTACGAAGTTATATGAAAGTATAGAATAACTTAAAACGTAAAAAATACAATATTTAAAAAATATATCCTAAAAATCGAGTTGTTAAAGAATAAGGTAGGTGCGCTAAATATTGATACTGTTTCTTATACTGCCATTCCCTATATCAGAGATAGTACGGACGCTACGAGTAAGGTGGCAACAGCGGCAAGTGTCTTTGTCTAACAGCGGCAAGTGTC